GAATGGACTTCTTCAATAACCAGGACAAGGCAAAGTCCGAAACTCTGCTCTGTGGTACCAGATTATGTGATTCTCTGGTTCGACCCCATGTCAAATTATTCCAAGAAGGATACATTTGTTCATCACCAGTTCATAGTCCCGGCAGACTAGAGGTACCAGTAACATCTCTTTTCCCCGGGACAGCAATAACTCTATGATGGAGTAAAATTCATCAAGGAAAGATGCCCCCGGGGACATGGTCAAGCGGAACATTCGACAAATTCCCATAGGATTGTTTTTGAATACTGATGGCTTAAAAGGTCTGGAGGCTAGCTTCCAGGAGAAAGTCCTATAACGGAATGTGTAAAATAGATTTGAATAATTAGAGCGCTAAAAGAGGTGAACCTTTAAGAAGCCAGTAGATAATCGGGGCGTTAAGGGTAAGGGTTAATTTTAAGACCGTATGGGACTGTTAGAGTATTATAACCCTCTCATTCGGTTATAATACTCTAACAGTCCCATACGGTCTTAAAATTAACCCTTATCCTTAAAATCCCAGTAAACTTGGAGATGAAGAACGAAATGTTCGAGATTAGTACGACGTATTATGAGTGGATATACAGATTCAGACGAATATAGGGCATATGCAGAGTACAGTAAAACACTAAACAATTTCTCTAGCATTTCTAGGCATTAGTCGAGATGAGATACAAATACATATGTATGTTAAGATCGAAGTTATTTCAGATATTACACCCGTCAAGATACTCCTCTTACGATCTAAGTCTAGGAAACTGAATATCATAAAAAATTTCCCTCAAAAATCACCATAAAAGTAAGCGGAGATAATACTGAAACGCTGTGGAAATTTGTCTCTGTCATTGCAAAGCTTTCTTGGAAATAAGATCCAAATATGTTGAGAGCGATGCATCTTTCAAGATAACTGATCTAAGGATCTACGTACAGAAAGCTTAGTATTAGAACATCCGATACTCTATAAAAGGGTTTTTATAAGAGTTTTATTGAAAATAAGATCCAAATACGTTGATAATGATGACGTATGTTACATCCCTCAAGATCATTGATCTAAAGATCTACGTCTATAAAACAGCAGTTAGTCCTGAGTTCAGTAAAGCAGGCAGAATTGAGATAATATGAACATCAGTGGAACTAAATAATTCTCGAATTGACAATTGGAAATTATTTTAATGGCACAACATTAGAAAGAATGCATAAGGCTTCTCATATACATACATATATAATACAAAATTATAAGAAATGTAAGAAAATCTTTTCATTACAATTCCTTAATTAATTCCTTTAGACTACTGCTTTTTAGTCTATTAAGTTTTGTGTATGAAATTGTTTTAGCACTTTGTCTTCTTCCCATCTACAAACACACATACATTTATACATGCAAATAGTTTTAGTTTCTCTTTTTTATAACTACCACCAAATGTAGGGTGTATATTCGATTTATCACATATTACAACACATTACCTATGTTGGATTTGGATTTTCTATTGGTTTTTAGCGTTATAAGCTTTTTTTTAATTTAAAATTGCTCTTAAATGGTAAATCTTAAGGCATGCAATTGAGGGTTTTCCCGCTAATTTCAAGTGTTTGAAAAGATCTCACTCAGCTGAGGAACAAAGAATTAAATTAGGTTTAAAGTAAGGGTTTTCTTTCAAGAAAAACAATACATTTCAGATCAATTGTAGCTACAATTGATCAATTGTTGCTACAATTTTCAACTGGATAAGTGTAGCAACATCCAGTAAGGATTAGCTTAATGATCCTAAAATTCGGCAATGCCATTTGTAATAGTTCTGTTTAATTTAAACTTTGTTTGTAGGTGCTAGATTGCCTCAACTACCTAAAATGTTTATGAAAGTATAAATACATACACACATACATACATACATACATACATACATACATTCAAATAAGAGCGTGTGTATCTATGTATGCAAATGTTACTACATTTTCGTAATTGTATATTGTATGTATGTAAAATTCATGTATTTAAGTCTACTATACATGTATGTACGTATGTGTGTGTAAAAGTAGTGGTAGTAAATTTTGTTAGTGTAGCCTCAACGTATCGTATTGGCGCAATTTTTTCCTTAATTCTACATTTTGTAGATGAATAAGTGTGTGTGTGTGTTTATAAAAGTGTAACTATGACAGGATATACATACATATGTACATATATGTTTGTATGTGTATCTATACTATACATAAATAGTTTTCTATAATTTCGTCCATTTTGTATAGTGTTCGTTTGCTTTGTAATCAAAATCTGCTTATGAGCCTTTCATAGGGATAAAATTTTGCATATATTACTTACACACACACATTCACTAAAAGCTTATGTTTGATTGCATTATGGGTGTGTTGTTAGTTGTGTTTTTAGTTTTTTTGTTCGGTTTTTCCTCTCAATTTTCAGTTCGTCCTTTCGTTGTAGTTACAAGTTAAATTTGAAGTTTTATTAAAAGAAATGTTATCAATTATTGTTTTTTTGTTAATTAAATGTATTTAGATGCTTAACGCAGCCTAAAATACAAACTTTATAAATTTTATAGTTTCTATGAAATCTGCCAAAGTGAGTTTTGTTGCAAACTATAACATTAACAAATTTTGAAAATGCGTTTTCGATAAACAAAACTTCGGGCACTTCAAGGAATCATTAACGTCTTTTCTTGTTATATCTTATTATATTTTGTCCTATCGTATCAACAACAGACAGATGGTCATAGTTTTATATACATATGTAGTTCCTGCTGAATAAATGTCTTACAGCACGGTAGCGTCCGTAATAATCTTACCTGTGACCAGTGTCTAGACACTAGAGAGAGTCCTAATCACTGGTTTATTGTTCGTATAAATACGAATATTTCCGCCGTATATTCTATAGTATCTCATCCAGTTTATCGTCCGTTTGATGACCAATAGCTAAGCCTAAAGGATGATGCATTCATTATGTAACTTGAAACATGTTTCTTTTTTGAAATTACAAATATAAAAACCACCACCTACACCTCTCTTAGATGCAGATCCATCACATTAGACTTCAATATGACCATCCTCAGTAGAGAGTGACACATTCGTAGAACATACTGTGAAAACTTCATCAGGGAAAAGGGTAGGGGAGCAGTGATCAATGTTATACGGAATAGAATTACTATTTCATAGATTCTTCCAAGGACCAACGAAAAGAGCACGAGATGGCACATTTGACAAGTGTGTTCAACCAAACCTATGTACCATACCTTAGAATGAGTTCCCCGGGGCATGTTACCTTAGTGAAATCACCATCTTGGTGTTATTAAAATATCCCGGGGAATTGAGGTGCTACAAATACCTTTAATCTGACGGGACTATAAGCTGGTGATTATCAAATGTATACTCGGCCTTTCCTTGGAATGATTTAACATGGGGTCGAACTAGAGCACCAGATAATGGATGACCAGTTGCCCGCAGGACTTGTCCTGGCTGATCAGTTGGTTAAGGTTCCTTTGGGATCCACGTAGTGGCACCAGAGCTGGTACTGGTACTACGGGTGGCCAGTTGCCCGCATTACTTGTCCTGGTTGCTCAGTTGCTTGAGGTTCCTTTTGGGATCCACGTAGTGGCTGTGGGTTAAACTCAAATTTTCGGGGAGGAAATGATGGTTTATATGTATATCCTATGCCATATATATCTGGATTCTCTCTCCGGTGCTGTAGCCATCTCAACAGATGTCACTGGATGATGTGACAGAGCAACTTATGCAGGATTCCTGAACCCGTGAACCAGTATAGGTTGGAGAATTTGCAGGTTGACACTTGCTACTTGCATGTCATTCCGTAATGTAAGTTGATGAACGATAGGGAAAGACTCCTCTGTCTGACAGTGGACTAGTACTGATTTAGTGGGGAAATTCTCGGTGCTGTTGCCATCTCAACAGGATGCATATTGTTTCATGCTTCCTTGTCGAGCTATGCATTGAGATTGATGCTGCCTGTCATTCCGCAATGGGGCTACTATGACAAGAGATAGGTCGAGTACATCGGCAAAGTGCTTCCACATGAACCTTCACAGCCATGTATAAGATTTACCAGTTGATTTCTTCATAGAAGGATTCATGGCCGCGTGGTAGACCGTTTTCAAGTGTGGATGAAAAATACCACCGTGAAATAAGGCCATCAACACTTAGAATGGGCTTCGTCGAAAAGGAATTTCGCAGGGTTCGGGGTAATTCATCAAGTCATACCTATGACTATAGCATCTTTTTCTGCTCTAGCTTTCATATTCAGATTCCATGACAGCTTAGAATCCAGAAAAATGCCCATATACTTTGCTTTATAAGAGAGTCTAAGTTTATCTTAATTGATGCAAGACAATGGGAAGTGTGGGATTTTATACCTTCTGGATAATAGCACCAGTTCCGTTTTCCTAGAACTTATACTAAGACCACTGTTAGTATTATACAAACTATGTTTTCTAAAAGAGTTTTGAAGTAACAGGGAACAAGGCGTTAGTAAAGGGTTAATGGCGAGTGTTGGATCTTATCATTCGAGAAGTTAACATTTTTCTTATTTAATGCACCCTTACTCATTCTAGAGAAAATCTTTCTCCTTGCCAGCATCTTCCCAATGGAATATAATAATTGTCCATTTAAGTTAAATATTTACAAACACTATTTCCCCAAAAACCTCTCTATATCATAACATCGACTTCAAGTTTAACATCCACAAACATTACTCCCTCTTTCCTCGTACTCATATCCTTATTTCGTTTTATCACTTTCCCTTATTCTGTAGAGTTTGGTTCATATTCATGATATAGAACCAACTTTCTCGAATTTTTCTGTTTAGTCGGAAGCTAAATGCCTTTGATACAGAAAAACTTAATCTTTCGAAGACACGAAGCATTTCGTATAATGTACGACATTTGTGGTATATTTATGTCATGTATTATTAAAAAACCAAAAACAATTGCATCGAACTAAAAGAATGTAATACTCAAAACTTCACTTACCTGAGGACACATTTTGCATTGATATTTGCGACCTGTGCCTCCACCGCCACCACCGCCGGAACCACCTAGAGAAGAACCAATTTTTGTGGCATTAATGGGTTGAGGAACAACAAGAAGGGCAGCGGCAGAGGCGGAACTATGATGACCAACATGATTACCATGATGACCACCACCGGCAGAACTCAAAACACTGCCTCCTAAATAGACAAAGATAAACAACAATTAGATAATGTTCTATTAAGAATATCTTTTAAGACAACTTATTAAGAGTAAAAGAAGAAGTATTAGAGCAACAATTGGGGGTACAACATATAACTTCTTATAGCTCTTTACTTTAAGAGTACTTTTAACGAGCAGTAGGTCTCATAATGGGCCTAGAAAATGTTGTTAGAAGTTTAATAAACTATATCCTAAACTATATCTAAACTCTTTGAAATCGTATTTCAAGTAGTGGCTCTTGTTTCTTTAACTTACCTTGTGGTGTTACAGCATGATGTTCCAAACGATTGTCGTCTATGAAATGACCTAAAAGTAAAAATGAAAACATGTTTTTAATAGATTTTCTTCTTTTTTTTCTAAACTCATACATGTTTAATGCAACAATTAATAATGATGTTACTTGTTTAAGTTTTAGTGAATTTAGTTAGTGACTGAAGAAAGGAAAAAAACAATAAAATACTAAATAAATATAAATCACATGAAGCTTCTAAGACAAGTGAGTAGTAGTAAGTAACGATTCCTAAAGAGTTGCAGCAGATCGTATAAACATTAAAGTGTGTCAGAAATATAACTTATAGTTATAGTTATACAAACGTTTGATCAAAGATACAGATAAATGGTGGCGCCACCTATTGAGCGCCCATGTATGGTTTGTGTAACAATTTTCAAATACAACACTACCTAACTCTTGATATTTGTCCACTGGAACATTTGTCTGTCTGTCTGTCCGCGCAGTTTGTCTTTTTATGGTCTTTTGCCAGCTTGACTAAGTTTATGTCGGCATCTTTTTACTGGACCGTTGCAAACTTCTTCATAGATACCATTGCCAGCATTGATTGGTTGTGGCGGTGGTGGTGGCGATGGTGTATCTTAAGTCTCAATGCCAAAAAATTACTCAAAAGCTGACACGTCTTGTACGTGCATCGGCCAATTCGTTTCATCTGATTGCTTGGTGTTTTAATTAAACTTACTAAAATTATAGATTAGTTATGGTTTTACAATCGATATTTGATTGACAGCTGGAATGTGCCTGTAATCGTTTTCTTTTGCAGTTTTACTACTCTGCTCTGCTTTTATATAATGGAATTTCTTGTTGTTTGTTTGAATATCCATTGAGTTGAAGCAAACATTTGCCATTATTATGAAATAATTGTCAGTGCAAATGTGGCAAGGTAAAGCTGTTCCGTTGTCATCAATTCTGTCTAGACATTAAAGAATTAATAATTAATGCTAAAATTTTCTAAATTTTACTTTAGATTTTCTCTAAACGATTGCAAAAGGATAGCTTCCAAGTATAACTAACCAGAGATTTTCCTTGTTATTCGCTTTTTTGTCTGTTAAAGTTCTTTAGGGGTCTGTTTTCTTTACTACACTGCTGCCTTGTATCTCAGGGATATAATTAAGCTGTTAATGGGATACAACTTTGTTCTTCACTAAATATATTAACAATATAGAACTATTCGATAAGATATATTAATGCTTAAGCTAGAGAATATTTTGTTGTCAACAAACTACAAATGCAATCCGTTAGCTAATTCTATAGCTCTCTGTAACCAATTATGATTTACTGGCTATAACTTGTTAGGAAATACAATCCTTGAGGTGTACGCTTGGGGTTTTGCGGGCTACCTACCGGTTACAGCCTCAATATTATTATGAAATACGGATTATGGCTTTGCTACCCAGGATCAAGATATAATTAAGTCTACTTAGATCAACTCGAAGTAGTTAACCTGACAAACGCAAAACCATTCGACGCAACAAAAGCTGAATTAAAATTGCGGGTGAGAGAATCTCATATGGCCTCATGAAATAATGAAACGGTAGGTAGAAATACTCAGATCCTATGGGGCGAGTATGATGAGAGCAAGACGAGAAATCTCCTCAAAATGAGCATGTCCGTGGTTAGTATGATGGTACGTATTCTGAGTGGACACACAGGATTACGAGCACATCTATACAAAATTGGACGTACGGATTCAGAGAAATGTAGAGCATGTGTAGAGGTCAATAACATTTTGGAGCACTTTCTTTGCCACTGATTGGACAATTCTTAGGAATTATGTCCAGGAAACTGAGTTTCTGAATATTGAAAAATAATGCATTCAGTGAATTTTTTCATAAAAAGGAGCGCACAACAGGCCCGATAGTGTCCTAGGTGCATTTCTTTGGATTTGATATAGTATACATCCTCCTATCAACCTAACCTAGATCAACGAACTGAACACAGAAAATTAAATTTTAAACACATTCATCGAAATTGACTCGATGTTTTACCGCAAAATTGTGTTCAGCGATTAGGCTAATTTTGGACTTATGAAGGCATATGGAGTGAAGTTAATCTAGAACAGACCCAGACACTCCATTACATGCAGAAAATTCACCGTTGGGTACGGTTTATGGCTCGTGGCATAAACGCACCTTATTTCTTCAAAAATTATAACGGAGCCCGAATTACCGTCCATGATTTCTTTAATTTTGACAATATGGATGACATTGATTCGGTCGATGTGTTATTTCAACAGGATAATACATACAACGTACCATACGATGACCGTAACCATCTGTATGCTGAAATCAAAACTTGTCTCCAAAGTCGTGCCATTTGAAACTTTTCGATTGTTTCCTTTGAATCCACTTTATGCCGATAAACTAACAATAAATGACACAATAAGTTTCATTTTATTCATGACATAAGGCCGAGAATGCTTAAAAAACAAGTCGCAACTGAACATTCGGAATGACCTTTGTCAAGAACAGCTCCGGTAGCTACATATATGACCGAAATTACTTTCAAATTTTTACCATTATTCAGTTCTCTTGTCCATATTTTAAATTTAGCCCTCGTTGACTTGAACGATTTTGCATTTCCTCACTTTTACTTGCTCGAATTCTCTTCCCTTTAAAGCAAGTACATTCGCTCTTACGTTGCCGAATATTCTCGAGTGGCCTGTTATATGATATGATGTAAAGCCTACCTCAGGACAATGTATTCGGTAAATGTTTTCTTACCTCTTTAAGGTTATATCTTATCACCTGATATAGACCTAGGTTGGCGCCATATTTCTACCAATCCTGGTTACACATTTCGTTAATGCATGGACTTCTGCCGGGAAGTTAGTATTGTGATTAGCTATTAAATTTCTGTTTCGTACCACCCCCGGGAGCATGTTACCTTGATGACCCCTCCCATCTTGGTGTTATTATAAGCCTGGGTAAAAGAGGTGCTACCAGTATATTTAGTCTGATCAAATGTATCCTCTGTAGTTTGGTTGCTCGGCTTTGAGATTAAGGAATGCACTGTGGTAAGTTTTTAGATGATGAGAATTTTCTTGGGAAATGAGCATTCCTCATAACATCAATATGGTTTGATGTTCTATTTACTCTGAACTAGTTATTGCCCTTTCCTTGTCGGGTTATATATGATGATACATGTCTCATGATACCTGTCATTTCTCAAGGGGTCTACTATGGCAAGAGATTAGATAGCTCTAGTACTTGAGCTAAGTGATTGTACTTGGACCGGCAGAAACATGTAGAAAGGGGCGGTGGTGAGTCGTGAAAGAAGCTAAGTACGAGTAAAAGTTGTTACACCAAAAGTTTTCGGATAAATGACGAAATTTAGATTTTATCGCCATTGTTGAAAGTAATTGTTGAGAGTTGACCACATAAAATACCACTTGAACCACTTCTAGCTAAACACAGTGGGGCAGAATCAACATTTTTTATAAATATGGACTTCTAAACGGATGGTCCGATCGGAATAAAATTTAACATGGGCGTATAGTTTATGTTTTGAAGATGCTGAAGAGGAAGCAAAAATCTCAAAAATTTTGTTGTCTAACTTACAACGAAAAAAAAAAATCGTTTTGATTCTGCACCACTGTGCATTAAATGGTAGTTTAGTTTTGCACTTTACCGCTTTAAACGATGTTGTCCACTACATAGGTGCATCCTTTGATAGCAAACTATATACACTGGCGGTATGCATTGACATCGAAGGCGCCTTCAATAACATGCACACTGATACTCTTATCCAATCCCTAGACCAGTTTAATTTTGACCGAATGCTCCGTAACTGGATCAACCACATGCTAAGGAACAGATGGATAAGCTGCGAGATGTACGATATAACTATCAGGAAAAAGGTATTTCGCGGTATACCATAGGGTGGTATTTTACTCTGGGTTACCACGATTAATAGCCTCCTAAGGACACTAACCGAGAAAGGACTTAGACCTGTCTGCTATGCAGACGATGTCGTAATACTTTTAAAGGGAAAGGATCCAAATTACTTATGTAGAAGAGCTGAGGAGGCTCTGATTACGGCCTTGAGCTGGGCTCAACCTAAATGTTAACCCGCAAAAACGGAAATCTGTCTTTTCACAAGAAAGACGAAAATTTCTACGTTTACTGAACCTTTCTTCCTGGGCAAGAAGATACCATTGACAGACAAAGTTAAGTACTTAGAGGATAGGATCAACAAGACACATCGGTGCTGGGCGAATTATATGCATGAATTGGGGTCTTAGTCCTAATATGACAAATTGACTTTATATAAGTGTAATTAGACCTTCAATAATCTAGTGAACTGCTATAGACAAAAAGTGCAATATCAAACTACTACAAGGAGTTCAGCGTACATGCTGCTTGGGTATAAGTGGTGCCATGTGTACTACTTCAACCAAGGCTCTGGAAACGTTGCTAGATATTCCACCCATTGAAACATATTTAAGATATGAGGCGGCGCTTACAGCCGAACGGCTCTTTACTTTAGGCGAACTGGCCAAAAGTGGTTATAGGACACGTCATCAATGTATACTGGACACATTGGAAGGTTATACACAATCATCGGACGTGCCTGATCGTATACCAGACACAGAATATTTGGGAAACTTTGAAACGCTGATCCCAGATAGAATGTTTTAGTCCAGCGGAATATTAGAGCAAAAAACCATTAGGAATCTGTTGTTACACGAATGCCTCTAAATTGGGGGACAAAGTGGGGCTGGGGCTCAATATTGAAGACCCCGAAACAGATATAAACCACCGTTTACCAAATCATAACACAAGCTTCCAGGCAGAAGTACGAGCAATAACGGAATGCGTAAATTGGATTAGAATAAATATGGCGCCCACAGCGCTTAATATATTTACCGACAGCAGGAAGGCAATTAGGGCAATATCAGGCGATAGAACTAAATCTAAGACCGTATTGGATTGTAAGAAAGCTTTAACTGACTACTCTCTCAGAGGTAAGGTTCACATCATATGGGTACCAGCCCACTCGGGAGTAGTCGGTAACG